AAGCAGACAGACAGTGGTGGTGTTAGCGAATAATGTTTTATCCACATATTTCAGATTTTTTTTTTGACGTAACCATTTATGATTGAATCATCTCAACATCTTGACTTAAAGAATGGTCATGACCATAACATTATCTGTAGGTCTGCTGACTGAAATCTTGGATGAACCATTGAGTACAGAAGCCTGTGACATCATCCTGTGACAATGACGTATTTAGATCCTTCAGTAAAATAATACCACACAGTAAACAAATACTCTGTTAATATAAGAAGTTCTGAATTTTTCCTCAGTAAAAGTACGAATCAGCAAAGTAAAAAAGTTTGTATTATGTCTTTTACAATCTAACTGAACTAGTAACTTGAGATGTTTAATAAATGTGGTAAAGTAGTATATTTCCCTCTGAAATGTTAAAGAGTAGAAAGTAATAAAATGTTAATACTCAAGTAAAGTACAATTACATCAAAACTATAAATGTACTGTCAGGGTGAGCGAAATGTGTCACAACGTATGAGGTGAATGCTTTATTAAGCCACAATATATCTGAATACCATCAAACATAGGTCATTTCTTTTACATGTGATTGTGAAATTGTAAAATAGCTTCTGATGGCTTCTAATGTAAAGATCACTGCATGACTGCATACAACAGCCCCAGAGAAGCAGAGAGTAATGCATACTTTTTCTGTTTTAGTATCCCTCCTACAGTATTGGCACTAGTATTTATACTCAAGACAAGACTTAGTATTAGCTGTATTAATACATTTTGAGGAGTGATCTGCTCACCCCAAGTGAGTTTGACTGCTGCTAAACTGAACATAAAAAAATAATTATCCAAAGACAAATAAACAATTAAAAAACAATTAATGAATAATGAATGATGGTTTATTTGGGTGACCCTGGATCGGTTCTTTCAGGGAAATCAACAAATGTATAAAAACTCAGCATGATTCAGTTCTAACTAAAAAAAATAATAATTAATTAGAATTAGAATTACTGTAATTAGAAACCAACTTACAGTACATGGTTCTAGCAAACTTAACTAATTATATATGAGTGGCATTTGTTATGTCAACATAGCGTTATTATGGTGAAATAATGGGCAGAATATAAGTATTAGAAACCAGGGCCAGAATTATTCTCCAGGCCAATCACATTTTTGTCATTTCAGTTTCTTATTTTTTGCACCAGTTACAATGGCTTGATTAAAGGTCCCGTGTGTAACATTTAGGAGGATCTAATGGCAGTAATGGAATATAATATTCATAGGTATGTTTTCATTAGTGTATAACCTGAGTGTATGACCTGAATATAGCAGTTGTTTTGTTTTTGTCACCTTAGAATGAGCTGTTTTCATCTACAGATGCCATGGGTCGCCTTCCATGGAGTCTACCATGTTTCTATAGTAGCCCAGAAGGGACAAACCAAACACTGGCTCTAGATAGGGATGTTTGCATTTTCCGGGCATTTCGCCTCCACTGTACTTTCTCCTGTGCACTAGGAAGGGGAGGGTGAAGCGGGGGAGTTGGTGTATTATAGTTTTGCCAGTGGAGTGAGTGGTCTCTGCACCACAAACACGTGAGGCTAGTCTTTCAGATTTTCTTAATTTCCTCTAGTGGTATCCAGGAACATAGTTTCAGTTTTGTAAATCCAGGTTTGGAAATATCTGCTGCATGAGCACATTGTGCCTGGAAAGAGATGTTACTGTTGAATGTTTATATGTCCTTTTTCAGTGTTCTGCAGACCACAAATTGGATTAATACTATTACTCACTTTCATTGTATTGCAGTGGAGGCAGAAACCTCAGACACATACAGTGGGTACGGAAAGTATTCAGACCCCTTTAAATTTTTCACTCTTTGTTTCATTGCAGCCATTTGCTAAAATCAAAAAAGTTCATTTTATTTCTCATTAATGTACACTAAGCCACCCCATTCTTGACAGAAAAAAACAGAAATGTAGAAATTTTTGCAAATTTATTAAAAAAGAATAACCTGAAATATCACATGGGTCCAATTAAGGTATTCAGACCTTTGCTGTGACACTACATATTTAACTCCACATTGCTGTCCATTTCTTCTGATCCTCCTTGAGATGGTTCTTGCTCCCATTGGAGTCCAGCTGTTGTTTAATTAAACACTGACTTGGATTGATTTAGGGAAGGCACACACCTGTCTATATAAGACCTTACAGCTCACAGTGCATTTTCAGAGCAAATGAGAATCATGGAGGTCGAGGGAACTGCCCAAGAACTCAGGACAGAATTGTGGCAAGGCACAGAATCTGGCCAAGGTTACAAAAGAATTTCTGCAGCACTCAAGGTTCCTAGATGAAGTGGGCCATCCATAATCCTAAATAGAAGAAGTTTGGGACGACCAGAACTCTTCCTAGAACCTGGCGTCCAGCCAAACTGGTAATCGTTGGGAGAAGAGCCTTGTCGAGAGAGGTAAAGGAAGAACCCAAAGATCCACTGTGGCTGAGTCCCAGAGATTGCAGTAGGTGGATGGAGAAAGTTCCACAAAAAGTCAACCTATCACTGGCAGCCCTCACCAGTCGGGGGCTTTAATGGGTCAGGAGGGGGTGGCTGACGGAAGCCTCTCCTCAGTGCAAGACATGAAAAAGCCGCATAGAGTTTGCAAAAACACATGAAGGACTCCCAGACTATGAGAAAGAGATTTTCTCTGGCTCTGATGAGACCAAGATTGAACTTTTTGGCCGTAATTCTACAGCCGGTATGTGGGAGAAAAACACAGGCACATCTCTCACCTGCCAATACAATCCCAACAGTGAAACATGGTGGTGGCAGCCACTCATGCTATGGGGGTGTCTTTTCAGTGCAGGGACAGGACGAACACTGGTTGCAATTGGAAGAAATGTGATGAACCTGTGGCCAAGCTACACAGACACAAGAAATATCCTAGGAAGAAACAACCTCTTCCAGAGTGCCAGGACCTCAGGGATGGGCGGAAGGTTCACCTTCCAACAAGACAAATTGACCCTAAGCACACAGCTAACATAACAAAGGAGTTGCTTGAACAACTCTGTGACCATTCTTGACTGGCCCCAGCCAGAGCCCTGACCTAAACCCAATTTGAGCATCTCTGGAGAGACCTGAAAAATGGCTGTCCACAACGCTCACTCATCCAACCTGACAGAACTGAGAGGATCTGCAAGGAAGAATGGCAGGAGGATCCCCAAATTCCAGGTGTGAAAACTTGTTGATCCATTCCAAGAAAGACTCAATGGCTGTACTAGCTCAAAAAGGGGTGCTTATACTCAATACTGAGGCAAAGGGGTCTGAATACTTATGACCCATGTGATATTCAGTTTTTCTTTTTTAATAAATTTGCTAAAAATTTCTACATTTCTGTTTTTTTTTTTTCTGTAAGGGATTGGGGTGCTTACATTAATGAGAAAAATTGAGAAATTAATTGATTTTAGCAAATGGCTGCAATGAAACAAAGAGTGAAAAATTTAAAGGGGTCTGAATACTTTCCGTACCCACTGTATATCCAAACATTTGTTGAGATTGCAGTCTAGTACTGTATATATCCTGTAGACCCTATATCACATATGTATATTCATATTGCCTACTTGTTTTTTTGTATTTTTTATTACTCTATTATTTTTTACTTATTATTTATTATAGCTTTTTAAATATCATTTATTGTACTTTTTATTTTACTTTCTGTCTTATTTACAATTTTTGTCATATTGACTGTATTTATATGTACATGTAACTCCTTATGAATTAATTAGGTTTGATTACCAATGGTACAGTAATACTTTGTATCTGCAATTTTTTTTCATTTTGTACCACTCTAAATACCAATAAAGAGACCTAGAGCAAAAAACAAACAAAGTAATAGAACTAAAACTGCATGGAGGTACCACTACAGGGAATAAAATACAGAAGATGGACTAAAACAAATTCCCAGCCAACTACAACAAACATAAAACCTACAGTTTATCTGAGCTGTAGCCTACAAGCTGTTTCCTGCTGGTCAATGTTTCTGTGTTATGACATGTGCCGTCCTCTGTCCCACACGGAGGTGATATGTTGTGATGTTTTGCCTCTAAGCTGTGATTTGTCCTGTCTGTGTGTCTGTGTACCCTTTCAGCTCACCTCGTCACAGCTTGTGTGTTTGTGTTTTTGCTGTCTGACACACAAGACAAGATGAATTGTGTTGTGCAACTAAGGCTGTTGATGTTGGCTGCATGGGGCGCCTGCGTTGATCTGAGCGGTCCTGTCTTTCTGCCCTCTGTTAGCTTTAAATAGACTCTAAGGTGTCTTTCACACTTCCACACAGTTTGGTGCACAATTAAAGGCCTCTGTGCTGAGTTCAGATCGTTTTGACAAGTGTGAAGGCCTTCTCGGGTGCTCACCAAAAACTCCTTTAAGCATTCCAAAATGCCATGCTGTTTGAAGTGTCCTTAATTGGATTAATATCTACCTGTTAGACCCACAGTGTATACACCTGATCAGTTTCTTCTACAGCTTCCCAATGAGGCTTCCATTGCAGACCTGCAGCTCCTCCTTAATTTAACTTACTGCTGTTTGGTTAGTGGCACATGCTAATGCAATGAGTTTATATGCTAGCTATACCTGCATAGCTCGTTTGTCGTCTGTAGCTCTTGCAGGGATGACATATTTTTGTAGGCCAACCTGGAAGTTAGCATCCCCCTGGTTCCTTCAACAAACAACCTTAATTTTTTTGCCGTTTTTTAGCGTTTTTAACAAGGACATTTTCAGTGGTTTTCTTAGCGTTAAGATAGCTGTGTTTACAAAGTGGCACAGTTACGCAGGCTTTTAGATGTACTTCACCAACATTGCTGTACACAGGGTTTTACAAATACAGAGGTCCAAAAACTGAACTTCCAAGGAGTTTTTGGGCATCAAAGTAATTATTTTTAGACAATTATTTCATGACTTTTACTGTATATCCCTTAGAAGACATACCGGTGACCTCAGTGGGGGGTACAGCCATGCTGACCAGATGTGATGGTACTCAATAAGAAGTAAGGGTACTCAAGTGGACAAAATTAGAAGTGCCATTTCAGGCACTGCTGGTCACCCTCAAAGGTGTACTACTGTCTCTGCTCCGTGTTCGGCGCGCTGATGTTTAATGTCACTGACTGTAGTCTCATTTAGCCACTTGTTAGCAACCGCCTTTTTTAGGACACGTAAAGCATTAAAATTCACAGGTGGGGTATTACTGACGTATTTTATGTTGTAGAACTAAACATGAAAATCTCTTAAGCTTGTGTTAACCACAGAATTTATTTCAGCCATCTAACTGCGATGAATAATGGTAGCTGGCTAACAAAATGTCATCACAAAGTTGGGTCAAATGTGAGCGGAGTTGGTTGGCACTATGGTTAAACAATATTTTTTATCTTTAACTGTTAATATATATTTTTGTTAAAACCATTTTTGAAAGATTAAAAACAACGTATTGTAATTATTATTTTGATGGTCAGTGGCAAAACTAATTTGACATTTCTACTGATGAATTGCTTAAAAATGTTCAAAACGAGCAGAAATTGTATTAAGTGTTCATGTTTTCTGGTTCTAGTTTGCATTAAATATTCAAATTGTTTCTTTTGGTTGCTTCATTTTTTGGAACTATAGCATTTGAACTGGGCTGGTTGACACAAATGCCCAACATGACTTTAATCCATTTGTGTATAATCATAAATGATGCCAGAGAAATATGAAAGATGAGGGAAAACAGTGTGCCAACCAACCCCTGTCTCCCCTACATTCATTTGCTATGCATTTGGTAACACATTGTGCATTTGCGTTAAAGTGGTGCTTCGTTCTTATTAAGGATTTCAGTTCACAGAATGTATTCTGCTTTTCCCCCACTCTTCATTCCCTCCCTGCAGTCCCCTGGTTCAGGCTCTCCGTCTCCTCCAGGAGCAGAGTCATCCAGCAGACATCTGCTGCAGGATGACAGCTTTGAATCTTCTCCCTCTAGCAAAGAGGTGTGTTCAACATTTTACCATTCATTAGAATTCACTGTGTCTCATTCTCACTGTAGCACATCAAGTTGAAGTACTGTTTGAAAATAATAACTCTCCTCTCTTCTCTTTTTTATTAATAGTCCAGGAAAAGCCTTGCGTCCTTCCCCACGTATGTAGAAGGTGAGTGCTTCATCCTCTGCAGCAGAGGTTAAAAACTGTGCAGACTGGGAAGAGTTGATGGGGAGGTGCGGAGGGAGATGCTGCTTGAGGTGAAAGGGAAAGGTCAATGTCGCTGTCAGTTATTGTAGCGTAGCCAGCTGATCAGGCCGCTCACCAACAAGGTCAGCAGCTGAAGCAGTGGTGGGCCACACAGCTCTTGGAGTATGTTAAAGTAGCTTTTCTTTTTGTTGTGACAAGAACTATTGAAACCACAATTGCTTCCAGTCTGCCAGTAACTGTGAAACGCCACAGACAAACTTGAATATATGTTGTAAGACTGAGACTAACAGAAACTTGAGTGAATGAGTGGTGGGAAAAAAAAAAGATGTCAGAAGTGAGGCGAAGACATTCTATTCTCTATACAATCGGAGCTCTGCTGAAACATTCAACCTGGTAAAAATATGGAAAGCGGAAATATTTAAAGAGATCAAAAAATTCTTAATGGAAACAAACAACAAACCAGGGAATGCTCAAGAAGGGAATAAAGGTTGGATAAATCAAAATAAGAATGGATGCAGAAAAATCAAATGTTGACAAAGATTATCAGAATTCATGTGACTTTTACATCAGTCTGCAAAACGGGGCAGGAAAAGAATATAAGGGTGTGACCTTTTTCAGTTACATATTCTTCCTTATTCCTACTGATACCTACAACCTACTACCTACCTACCTACTACTACCTATTCAGCTCATTCTCCCAACTGGTGACTATGATCCATTGTTAATATAATAAATATCGATTAGCGCAGCTTACTATATTAATCTCTACGTGTGTGGGGAAACATTGTGTTATATGGTGAGACTGAACCGCTCCCTCCCTCCAGTCCCAGGCCCATGTGACCCAGAGGACCTGATCGATGGGATCATCTTCGCTGCCAACTACCTGGGCTCCACCCAGCTGCTGTCGGACAAGACGCCGTCCAAGAACATCCGCATGATGCAGGCGCAGGAGGCCGTCAGCCGCATCAAGGTGAAAGCACACCGTACACGCTCTTGGAAGTCAGCAGATTGCACATGTATTTTTAAAAAGCACCTGTTTCACACAGCTGCATTTTGGTTTTGAACTGGTACCAAATGAATAGACAATAAATGATGTAAGCACAGTTTTACATCATACTGCGCCTCCAGTGTTTTCATGTTTTCTTCATTTTTTAAACCCTATTTTCCCATTATTTTCTGATTTACCATCATACCTAATTATGACTGAATTCATTTGTAATTATTTAATGATTCTTTGAAAACAGTACTGCCATTTGGTACTAGTTATAATAAAGTAGGGACAATGTTGTGAGATAGTGCGTATTGTAAGTGCCATTTATTTAATAGTGTATTGTGTCCCAACCGATCCAGGCATATTTTACTGCAGTGGTTCCCAACCTTTTTCCTTCAGGGACCCCTTTCTGTCATTGAGTAAACAGACGACCCCTGACTCAGAGACTCATTTTATGGATATTTCATATTATAGTCAATGTATAACAATAACAGTAGAGAAAAACTGATAAACTGTACAATGAACCCAAACAGTGAACACAATAACTGCAGGAAGGTTGTGTAAAACGAGCGATATTGAGGAATTTTGAGCTGATTATTTCCTGTGAACATTGATCAGAGATGAGTTTTACTGATTTTTTAATAACTTTTTATACAATTCTGTGTCTGTATTGTGTTTTTTGTATTTTTTAAGCAGTCATACATACTATATGAACGAATGAAAAATACAATTTCATTTAGATTTCCTTACAGAAATGAACAAAAAGCTAAGATATAGTCCTGTTGTGTATATTTTTAAAGTTTTCTTATACCTCTTAAAATCAAGAAGGGCCTCACACCCCCCTGGGTTGGGAACTACTGTTTTAGTGGATCAGTTTTGGTTAAAAGGAAGAAAATCCAGTCCTTTCTTTTCTTTACTGTTTTTCCTGTTTCTTTATTTAATCTACTTTGTTTCTTTACTGAACTGTGTTTGCCCACCTCAGCCTGCTGCTGTTGAAGCACTTCTCTCCTCAATGACAGCCGGCAGTACACAGCGAGCATTTCACTGCGTGAGAGTTTAAAAAAAAAAAGTGAATGTGAAGATATGTGATTATTTGATATTATTTGGCCGTACCGGTACATGGATTCACTAAGGTCCGAAGCAAAATGCTCTCAGAATAACAATTACTGCTCTCAATTGAATAATGTTTTTTTAGATCCCTGCTTTTAAGGTCTGTCTCTCCCACACAGCTATACAGCTACTGTATATTTTCATTAAACGGTGGTATATGGCTTTGTTTGTGGGCGAGAGACAGAGCTTGAAAGCAAGTGACTCATGCCAAAAAACAATATTGAATCAAGAGCACAAATTAATTATTCTGTGCACACAAATGATTTAAGCAAGTTGGGGGTATTTTCTTCTATGACACCCCCCAGGCTTTAATACATGTTAATTAAGTGAGTAATTTGATGACAGGACAAAATTAAACTTTGTCAGTTGAAGCCGGTGTTAGCCAAAGATTTGTGAGGGTAGAAGCGCCACCACTCTGTAACACCACTCTGTAACACCACTGTACAGTCAGAGTGGATTGAGTGTTTCTGTAGTTCCAACTCCCAACATTTAAACCAGTGTACATTTAAATGCAGTTAGTGACTTTCAGTTGGCTGGTGTCAAAGCTAATATGTTAACATAATAATGCATGATGATAGTAATGTGTATCGTCTTACAGAGTTTGGCCCAGTAAAGCTCTATGGATATAAACTGTTTAATGTTCATGTGTTTACCTGTGACTCTTTCACTCCCCTCACTCCCGTCCTGTCACATGACCAGGGTCCACCTGTCCTCAGTGCCCCCCAACCCCAACCCCATTCTCCCACCATTTGTTCAGTCAATATTCCACAGTGACGCAGCATTTTTCAGCCTGTGATAAACACACAAAGCCTTCAGCCACACACACACACACACACGCACAGAGCAGCAGTAAGACATTGTTGTACCTTGTTACTGGTTCAATCAAGCTCAATATTAGCTGTTGTATCTCATAAGACAAAGTTAGATAGATTTCCTTAAAACCAGATTACTTTTCTAATGCAAAACATGTGACAAGATCATTTTTGTTTCAGACAAAAATAAGACTAATTTCCCAGAAACAAAGCTTCTTTACTTTCTTTGAAGGCAGAATCATTATTCCTATTACATCAGTCAAAAATCTGGTTGTCACTTTGATTGATAACTTTCATTTGAAAAACACATTGAGATCATTCTTCCATATCCACCAGAGTCCCTACATTCCCCCACATACACCCAACAATAAGCACTCCACTGGCAGCAGGGCATTTTCATTTGGAGCTCCACATTCTGTGAAATAATTTACCAGAGTCGATCAGAGAGGCAAACACCAATGAGACCTTTAAATCTATTTTCATGTGCTTGCAGATTAATAATTTAATCCTGACTGTGAAACCTGTACCTTTCTAAACATTGGTTTAACAATCTTTTTATTTATAATCTGTACTACAAACCTTGTGATATCCTTCTCTTTAAGTAAACTTACTACAGTCTACTATGCAAAGAGATTATTATAAATCATAATATATTCATCATTATTATATTTATGATATGTATGTATTTGTCATTACAGGGCACCCTTAAGCTTCATATGTATTAAGCAGTGTCAGGTTTAATTTCTCTTGGTTTATAACAAACCAAATTTCATGAAAATTGGTTCAGAATTTGTTTCAGAGTTTGTAGTATAGTCTGAATGTCTCAGTATTGTTATCTAATGGATCTTGACGCACACCAAACTACACTAAAATACTTTTTCTTTCAAACAATGGTCACTAAAATTTTCAGGTAAAAGGACCTTGACATTTTAAAATTCTTCCATACAGCACAGGTTTTCTTCTTGTGTGAGTAGAGCTGACAGGAGGAGTATTAATTTACACAGAACACATAGTGAATGAGTCCTCCCTCCAACTGATGAATCTAAATAGTAAATAGTCTGATCATTGATGTTAGCCATCATTACCATCTGTCTCTGTGCAGCCAGTCTTAGGACTCTGCAGCATGAGCTGAACTGTGTGGTGGCGCACAGAAAGTGCTGAGAGTCAACTTCTCATTCTGTTCTGGAGCCAAAACAACAGAGACACCTGCTGGTAGAGAAAGGCTAATGAAAATACACTTTGACTTCTATTACCTTCCATGGTGACATATGCAAAGGCTCGTACTATACCATGAGTGCATAGAGTTTTAGTATGAGCAGAGAATGAACACTGACTGAATTCCAGAGTGTGTTGGCTGAGGCCCGGCTGCGTTGGCAGGAAGTATTTTCCAGCCAGATGGTGGTCAGGGCAAATGGGCTCCCCTCTCTTCAGCTGTGGGGCAGTCAGAGGGTGAGGGGGTTAATCAGACAGCCTTTGAGGGGTTGTGAGGTTTAGAAACCCCCTCAGTGTTCATTCTAAGATGTTAATCTGGGAACTTGCAGGATGATCACGGTAAACCGGACTGATCAGCTCATCGACATAATCTGTAGATACAAAATGAATCAAGATGCTGCAGCTGCACGGCCTCCCAGGTCGGGCTAATTGTGGAGAGCTGACATTTTCCACTGTGTTCTGGCCCATATAGGAGCCCTCGCAAATACCCAGAAGTCGTACCAGTACAGTATACTTGGCCAAATGTGGTGCATCATTTATCACAGGTCTGGCATGAGTGAGAGTTTAGGCCTCTGTTGGGTTCAGGACTTTGACTATATGGGCCCTGTATTCTCCAAGTGTCTTCAAATCCCTTCTAGGAATCTTGCTGAAAGGCCTAAAAACCAGTCCTAGCTCAGAACTAGCTTTCTGCAGGAGAAAGACCACTGCTTCTAGGAGAGAGTGTGAGTAAGGCTTTTACAACCCTAGCAGTTGCAAAGTAGACATTATGGCTAATATACAGCTATAACATTCTATTATACACTGGACATTCCATTATTATTATTGTTACTATTATATAGTAACTAAATAAGCTGTACTACTGTCAGTGTTGACCAAGTTACTCAAAAATTTTTATGTATTACTCATTACTCTTTTTAAAAGTAATGTAATTACTTATTATGCCGTGCCAACAGTGTTAGTTACACTACTTCCCACAGAATTGGTAACTGTGTCCCTTCTGCCTCAGAGTCAGACTTGCGATGATTGAAATCCAGTTCAGTTTGTTAAAATCAAAGTAAGGGAATATTTCCAGCAGCTGAATGTAAGAGTTTCCATCTTCCAAACTAATTTCCTCCACGATTACAGAAATTAACCCAAGGACGTGATTGGATTGTTGGATTCAAATCAATAGAGGGGTGACAACAAAATTAATGTTACTAAATGTAACTAATTTACTATTAGTTAGGGGGGGTAACTGTAATATTATCACTGATATTTACTAGTAATTAGTGACACCATTAGTGTTACTGTTGAAAGTAATATTATTACTGTAATAATATTATTAATAATACCTTACTGCCCAACACTGGTTACTTGAACAATAAACAATAATAATACAAAAACATTATTTAACTTAAATCTAATATTACAAATGTAATAAAATGTAATATGAGATATGACTATATTTCATTTCATATTGTAATATAACATATGACATTACAGAAATTTCCTACATTTTCCCCACCTGTAAGGGCAGATAACTAGGAGTGTAGCTGAAAGGTGAAGAGTGGTCTATATGCAGAGATGCACTGCAGACCAGGGAGGGTTTGCAGCATCATCGCTGTGTGTGCAATACTTCCCAATATATGCACAGGCACCATTAGAAGCACTGTAAAACAATGCAATTGGGTGGGGCTGACCCAAGTAGTATACTTGTATATGAGTATACAGTTATTATTATTTTTATTATTATCAATTGTATGTGCATGTATTAAGCAAGTGGCCATTGTTTACAGCCAACTGCATATTTCTTATTGTTAAATACAGTTATGAGATTGAGGCTATTTCTTTATTTAGCATTGTAATTTCGCATTACCTGGATAACTCAGTGGCCTTTACTGTTTGCCTTTATATGTAAAACCTACACCCAAAACTGTGTACTGCATTTTGAATTTAACCACTGGCACAGTATTTTAAACCATTACTGTCAGAGAACTACAACATGCCATCAAAATGTACTTTGTGTTATATCCTCCTGACACTCAGGAGAAAAATAATTTAATATTTAGATTTTTTAAAACATAATTTGGTCAATGTGGATGTAAAAAAAACATTGCAAAACTGTCAAAATTGTTATTTGTTTTTATAACACGTCCTTTGTAGTGGACATTGGGTCTGTCTGTTCCACAGTAAGTATAGCAACCTCTCCTGCTGGTGGCCTTGAGATTATACAGGGTTTCCTCATGTCCTTGAAACCTGGAAATTTAGAGACTAGTTTTCTAGTCATAGAAACAGCTGGAAATGGATTAAAATGTTAAAATGTCCTGGAAATAATAAAATAAATAAATAATAAATTTTAATTGTATTTTAGCCTGTGCTGTGGCCAATTAAATGTTACAGTTATTGTAATCAATTCAGAAAGCAGAACAAAAAAAACCTGCAGCTGAGTGATGTACTGTATTGTTAAGAAAAACTCATGAAGAAAATGTCCTGGAAAGGTCCTGGAAAAGGATTTCTTAAAAAGTGTGGGAAACCTGTTTAATAAATGCAGGATGGTACGGACAGTCCACTTCCTTTTGCAGACATTGTATATAGGCTGTGGTCCAACAGATCAAAATCTTTTCTGCCTCACTTTAATGCTCTGTTTCCTGAAGTATGGAAAATGGTTGAAAATGAGAAGAAGCAAGCCCCACAGTCTCCGTCTAAGGACATGGGTTAAAATGCGTATTTTGAAAGGCTTAAAATTAACATACATTTCTAAAACTTTAAACGTGCTACAAGGAGTTTTTTACTGGTTATGAAACAGTCTTAATTTAATACTGATGCCTCTATATTGCTATTGGCTATTTCTATAGAGTTATTCTTAATGCCTGCCACCAGATTAGATTCCCCTTGAAATCAATTAAATGAGGTGACAGAAAAACTACCGCTTTTGTCCACAGTGGTCGCCAAAACAACACAAAATGAAAGTTCCTTGTTGCTGCTTTAATGTAATATAGTTAAGACTCCCCTTATGAAGAACAGAAACAATATATCTTTACAAATTTGACCACTTATCTGCCAAACACATTTTTGCTGCCATTTTGAAAAGATAGATACGCTCTGTTACCCACACTCCCATGTGTATTACATCACTAGAAAGCCCAGGATGTCCTTTTATGTTAGGACTCAAATAGACTGCATGCATGGTCTTTAAAATAAAGGTCTTAATGTTATGTCCTCCACAGAGGAAAGATGAGAATTGCTGGGTCTTAGGAGGCTAAAACAGTTACATTACGCTCTGTCCTAGGAGGAGTAGTCCTTCTCTTGCTGAAAGTCAGTGTAGGAAACTTCCTCGCTCCCTTAGGCCTTTTCCACCCATAGTGAACCGGCTCCAGTTCAAGCACCTAGTTTTGAGCCGTTCGGAGCATTTTGAGCTAAAATAAATTGTTACCACAGCACTGAAAGATTGTGATGAGCCTGAAAAATAGAAAATAGAAATAAATGACAAAACTGTAAGCTAGCTGTGCCTATTACAAGAAAAATTACAAAAAATTAGTGAGTTTGTCTTAAATGAAGGCCCGAGAAGCATTCTTATGTATTTTTAGCATTATTTATTAAGCAATTAACTTTTTTTGCACTGTGGAAGATTTTTTGGGGGAAAACACTCTTGCTCAGTTTTGGTCTGAGTTAGGACTAGTCCTAGTGTCACTTTCAGTTCCTAGTAGTGATTATGTAATGCTCTATAAACACAGGTCCAGGTTGAGTTTCTGATATATATAAAGACATCCGCACCAGTTGTGACGTCCATAACACACACATGCATACAGTAACATACAAACAACCTGTACATGAACACACAATGTGAACCAAAATAACAGTGTACAGTACAATGGCGCTACAGATTAAGGTTATTATATCTGACATTCAGTGAAGACCCCGTCCCTGCCTCCCTCCCTGTGATCCAGTCGCTCTCTCCTGTGCACTGCTCTAACCCATTACTCTCCTGTCTGCTTTATTCCATGCCTGGCAGACGGCCCAGAAATTAGCCCAGAACAGGAAGAAGGTGCAGTACCTACATATCCGTCTCGTCCTCCACACTGCCGAGCACAGCCTCTCTTTTTCCTCTGCTTGGCTCTATGTCTCTTTCTGTGTCTGTCTCTGTATATCACTGTCCTCTCCTTTGTCTCCTCTTCTGTCATTCTGATGAACTGTTGGCATTTTCCTGAATCCAGCAACCAGCTTTGTATTGTTCGAGGTGATGTTCATTGTTTCGGTCCCTCCCTCGGGTCTCCAGTCCCCTCGCCATTTTTTCATCCCATGTCAGACATTTTATTCCGTCCATAATTTGGAACTCGTTTTTGTCAGACTGGTTGACTGCTTGCCATGGAAGGGATCCAGTTTGCTGGATGCAGGAAACAGCTGTAATCTTTCTGACACTGTGAGGTCTCGCTGGGTTTGTGGTCGTATTCAATGTGCTTTCTCTCTCTGCTGCTGGTTCTGTATTTGTAGTGGTACTTTGTATGACTATGCATAATAACCTACACGCTCTTGTTTGCTAACCTACCGAGAATCAAATGATAAAATGTAATGTTAAATCATCTCTGTGTGTCTAGTATAGGCAGAGGTCCCACAGCTGTGCTCATGTGTAATTCAGCTTTAAACTCAATGCTAATGTCAGCATCACAATGACAATGATAACATACTGATGTTATGTCTGCAGTGGTGGAATGTAAATAAGTACATTTACTTAGTACTCTACTTAAAGCTGCAGTAGGTAACTTTTATAAAAAAAAAACTTTTTGTCATATTTGCTGAAACTTTAATCTGTGAAAAAATCAGGATCCTGTGGCTCCTCCTAGTGCTCCTAATGGCATTTGTAATAATCCACTGGGCTTGAACGAAAACAACCAATCAGAGCTGAGAAAGATAGACAGACACTTTGGGTTGGTGGCTTGAAGATAGCTCATTGTTGATGGAGCAAAGTAGCAAATTGGTGTTACTGTGACTACTTTTTACTACATTTTTTATACCTAACTCCACAACCATAACATGTAACTGTTGGTTATTTACTTTGATTTTAGCATTTATAATTATGTGTTCTTGGGGATTGAACAACCAAACTTTATCACTTTAAGGACCCCCACAATAGATCCATATTCGACCATAGACCCCCTATTAGAGAGGATTTTGTCTTAAGGAATCCCCACACCCTAGTTTGAAAACCACTAAATTAACAGTTAAATTTAGCTCCACCTTAATCTGCTACAACATTAAAATGAGTACTAATTACAAAAATATAATAATATAATTTCAGTCAGACAGCTCGTGTGGAATAGATTATTATGTGAATGTAGAAGAGTTGATATTGGTATGATGATAACTTCCCCTTAGGGGACTCAGACCTCAGATGCTAGGCTGGAAGTGGAGCTTTTGAAGTGCTATTTGAACTATATACTATATAATATGACACTGAAAAAAGGGCCATGCCATCTTTGTACTAAGCTAGGCTAAACTCGCCCTGGATCTCTTTACCTGACGTACAGAGATAAAACTGAACTTGTCATGTGACTCTGGGTAGGACAGCAGCAATTATATTCCCAAAATGTTGAACTATTCCTTCCTTACTATAACAGTCATGTGGCATACTAACTACATGCACTACTTATCACTGTATAGCCTCTGCAGTTAGCACATGTAAAGTGTCAGGTTGGCATACTGTATTATTATGATAATAACTTAACACAGTAATAACACAGTTCTGTGATTCTGGTTTTCAGTGACTGGTTATGTACTGTACAGTACATTCAAATGTAACCAGTATTGTTTAGTATGTTCTGTTAGCTCATGCATAATTTGAGAACACAAATTACTAATTTATGTGCACAAATTTCCCCCTTTACACAGACTTACTGGACTCCGTGGTTTTCATAGGGAAGGAGATCATAAAGCTCTTAAAGACTATGGTCCTCCTGACAATCTTGCATACATAATGTAATAGTCTTTGCTTTGTTCTACAGTTACATAGTCAGTGTTTAGGTCCCACACCTCTCAGCAAAAATATACAGAATGAGTGCAGACTTTTCTCTTAGTCAATTTTGGGGTTTATGGATCAGAAATTGTTATTAATTTAGCAGCTGTTTTATCTTTCAGTATGTTTTCTTTCACTGTGTGCCCTGGCTGTAATGAGACGGTTACTGACCCTGGAATATGTATGCACTAACGTTTTGGCCTTTTCCTGCCTGGATGAATGTTTTATAAATGTGTGTCTAATATTGCTATTGTCAATGTGGCTGTGTATGTGTATGTGTGTGTGTAGGCCTCTGAGGGCGAGCCTCAGCCCATGACAGAGGTGGATCTCTTCATCTCCACCCAGAGAATCAAAGTGCTCAACGCTGACTCCCAGGTATTCACTCTCATTGACATACAACACAGTAAGGACCCTCATGTCACCAGCTATTCTAATATAACCAGAGCACAAGATCAGCTAAAAAGTGAACTCCAGTTCACAGAGTTTGAGAGTTCATTCAGGAAGTAAAGTCTTTATGGTCAGGAAATAACTTCTGAAATGTTGCAACATCGATTTGAGTTTACAATCAGTGCATGTACTGTGAAATATGTATCATAGCAGGGATAAGAAGCTCTTGATAGAAATGCCAGCCATAACTGATACAGTTATAGAAGTGATATGCATAGCCCTTGATGGGATAAATTGTTGATATGAGTGCAGAAAAAGCAGCAGCATACCACCGAACTGTAGATGATATATTTTTCTGTATTTAAAACTTTTCAATGAGTCTGCTGTTGACCTTACTTCACATCCTGACACAGGCTATCTGCCGGTCTAAATAAACAATGATTTCATTCTCGACAAATTGAAACAAAAACAAGACTGAGAATCTCTAGTACCATGGTTGCAGACCTCTGATTTTATGTAAATAATAATAATAAATAATTCACTTGCCACTAGAGCACCAGCATCTCAGGCCAAAATGGAACAAAAATTAAATAAAACTCACCAAAATCGTCTCTTTTAGTCTTGAAGATGGCTGCAATGGCCACAACATAAGATAACATGTATCCTTGGGGATAAATGCTTCTTTCAAATTATGTCAACTAAAAGTGCTTGTTTTTGCCACTGACAGGCTCAGACTGTTATTCTACGTGTCTGATAACATTATGGAAACATAACCAGAAACAGCCCTAATACCTCTATCACTTTCATTCTCTGCTCAGGACCATGACTCCACTATATCTTTATTATGACTCTTTATTGGTTAATCCTTCCATTCATTTATCCAGCCATTTTCTGCTGCTGTCATTGTTTAATGATTGATTAAAGATATCATTAGAAATTATTGATAAAGTACAGCTGGGAAGGAGTGATGAAAGTGTGATGTAAATGTCAGTAATTGCATGCACAAATTCAGGCCATATAATCCCTACTGATTTTAATTGATATCTTTGGTTAGTATGACAGTGAAACAGAAATCACATAAATTGCATTTTATGTGATATTAGAAAGGTCTTAGCCTTTACAAGCAGTGCAGAAAATGTGCATCATGCACACATAAACATGACTGTGTAGTCAAGAACAACTATATCAGTCTTTTCCTGATTTGTCCTCAAGTGGATGTGTTGTGTGGCTGTCCAGGTTGTTTGGGTTAAATTTGCTATGTTTGGTTACTTTTGGTTGTCTAACTTCCAGGAGACCATGATGGATCACCCTTTGCGGACCATCTCGTACATTGCTGACATTGGCAACATTGTGGTTCTGATGGCCCGGCGTAGGATGCCTCGGCCTGACTCTCAGGAGAATGTGGAGGCTTCAGACCCAGGACAAGACAGCAAGCGCCAGTACAAGATGATATGCCACGTGTTTGAGTCTGAGGATGTGAGTCCAACAGAAGTTACATGATGGCTTTTGTCAGATCATTGCAGTTTTTGTTAGTTATATCAGCTGTGAAATTAACTACATATAGTTAGTTTTTTAATAGTTAAAAAAAAAACCTGGGCTGTTTAATTTATTTGAAAAATTGTATGTCTGCCATTTCTACCTCTACCTATCCTGTCTAGGCCCAGTTGATTGCCCAGTCCATCGGGCAGGCCTTCAGTGTGGCTTACCAGGAATTTTTACGGGCCAATGGCATAAACCCTGAGGACCTGAGCCAGAAGGAGTACAGTGACCTGCTCAACACTCAGGACATGTACAATGATGACCTCATTCACTTCTCCAAGTCTGAAAACTGCAAAGATGTAAGTAGGACTGTGTATCATTTAAACATGTTTTACTGGTTTTTTAAAAGGAATTTGTTCTTTAATTAAGTCATACACTGCTCAAAAAGTGAATGATCATTTTCTGTACCACTTCAAGTGGTTCATGCAGTGCTGCTAATCAGAACTTTCAGATTCTACTTTTTACAGTTATGATTTCATGTCTTTGCAGTATGATATGTAAAAATTAAAAGTAACTTATGACTGACTTTAAAATGGTTGTTTTTGCCTGCTGTGACCTCAGGTGTTCATAGAGAAAGCTAAGGGGGAGATTCTGGGTGTGGTTATTGTGGAGAGTGGATGGGGCTCCATCTTGCCCACTGTCATCATTGCCAACATGATGCATGCTGGGCCAGCTGAGAGGTCTGGCAGACTGAACATAGGAGACCAGATCATGTCCATCAATGGGACCAGTCTAGTGGGTCTGCCACTGTCCACCTGCCAGAGCATCATTAAGGTATGTGTATGACATGGATATTGTAAATGAAGATGCAGCACAGGGACAAAGTAATTGTGTACCACTGCACAGACCCTGGGTTCACTGTGGTTGGCTATACCTCCTGCTTGGTTGTGGCATGTATGCTACCTGTTCAGAAATGCAGTGAGGACCGATAATACGAGTCCAGCTTACCACAGCTGGTTGGGCTTTATGAAAGGTGTAACTGTGTGTTGTCACCAAACAAAAATCATAATATGCCATGGCAGCAAATTATATTGCAGAGAGGGAGCATATTTCAGGAAAATGAAATGAGACCTAGAATTGATTTTTGAGGCAATCCAAACATTCAATCATTGGCTGTTGAAGAGACAGGATAGGCTATTTTCCAGGTAGGAGGAGAACCAGGTTAGGACAAAGCCAGACATTCTGATCCAGTATTTTACCCTACCAATAAGAATACAATAGTATAGCAATAGTATGATGCTGATGGAAGCCAGATTACATTTTTTCATTAATACAATTATGATCAATCTAAAGTTGTTGCTTGGCAATTACTTTCTTTGGAGTTTTAGAATAAAGCATTTGACATTCCACTGATACCATATGCTTTCTTTATGCAGGGTCTGAAGAACCAGTCACGGATCAAGATGAACATTGTCAGATGTCCCCCAGTGACCACTGTCCTTATCAGACGGCCAGACCTCCGCTACCAGCTGGGCTTCAGCGTCCAGAATGGCATTGTCGGTAGCACTGTGGTTCTGCTCTCTTTTTATGTCAAATGATACTTGCAGTTCTGTTAAACTGCTTGAGTAAAACTTGTTGTGTGAAAGAACTGATCTGCCTCTTTAACAGATCTGTAGCCTTATGCGTGGGGGCATCGCTGAACGAGGTGGGGTCAGAGTGGGTCACCGCATTATCGAGATCAACAGCCAGAGCGTGGTGGCCACGCCCCATGAAAAAATTGTCCACATTTTATCCAACGCTGTGGGAGAGGTGAGATGTCACAATGGACACACACACATTAAAGATACTGCATGCAAGTAAGATTTTTGATACTTACCAAAGCACTCCTGCCACTTTCACCACATGAAAGAACTAAGGGGAAATAAGTGGCAGTTATCATTCAGTTTCTGCTCTGTATGACCATATGATTATTAGAGTTATAAGCAGTGAATCTCACAGCTCAGTTGCTAAGCAGAAGAAACGGCATCAAATGTCTCCTAATTGGCTTTGCTGTAAGGACTTCTCTCTTGGACTCTTCCAACTGTGCTGTTTTGCTTGGTTATAAACAGCAACAGCAGCTACATGACACCAACGATGCATGCCAGTGCACCCAGTGCAAGCAGCTCAACACTTAGTGCAAGCTTGAATACAACATCCTGACCTCCCAGTTTAGAGTCCCAGGTCAGAAGAGTTCGAAACACACACTACTGTTCAGACGTTTGGAATCAGTTTGGATGTTTTTATAGATGAAAATAGTCCCCAACTAATTTCCTCTTGTTTAAGTAACATTTCCTAATCAAAACTTTAAAAAAAATAATGAAACTAGCTGTTTTTAAAGATTTCCATCTTCCGTAAGAACCAATGGGCTCTGGACTGAGAGCCACAGAGAGGGACTAACACACTGTTGGTTTTGCTCTTTTCATGGAGATTTGTTCACTACTGTATCATTCAAATGTAAAATAATGCCAGCCTTAAGTGATTAGTAACAATGTAAATGATTTTTAGCATCAAAAATGTGTCCTCTGCTCAATGTATGTTTAAAGAAAAAATACATTTAAAATTGTAATCCTGCTAATAATCCACATATGTAATGGACTACAGTTACCTTATTTTGTATCCTGATCATGTAACTGTACCCTGATAAGGGTACATCCTAATTAAGGGACCCAGTTAACTGGGATAAATACTTCACCATACACTACCAAGCCAAATGTATAAAAACAAAGTGCCAAGTGGGCTAGTGTACGCTGGGATGTCTGAACTGGCAACAGTGAATGCTAGCCTTTGGCACTTCATATTCAAAGGCATTTACTATTAATAATTGAATGAACTGAATGCTTTGTTCTGTTTGTGACTGTCTCAGATCCACATGAAGACGATGCCTGCAGCCATGTACCGCCTGCTGACCGCCCAGGAGCAGCCTGTTTACATTTAACAAGACAAAGCCCTGACCTCACACGCCCTTTAAATCTCCCGCAGTCACCGTCACTCCCCTAGCCGACCCCCTCTGCTCAGCCCAGTGCTCATCCTGTACCCTCCTGCCCACAGCTGATGGACCATAGTGAGTTGTCAGTAGGACTGTTCCGTTGCTCAGCCTCGTCTTCAAGTGACAATAACATAGAAACCCAAATGATCCCATCTGCATTCACTAAAAGATTTGTTTATGTACTTTGGCTGAAGGTGCAATTAGTGATGTGTACACCTGATGCATTTTCAGCAGTCCAGAATCCTAAAATCTTATTCCTGGTTCACTTATTTCACATTTTCAATCTCGGGAGCACTATGAAAATTGTCTATCTTTAATGTTCAGTTTAGGCAACTAAGACAGTTTGGTGACAAATTTGGTCATTGTTAAATAAGAAAGATGAAAACTCTTTACACAGTAGAACCCTTATGTTAGGAAGATGGGAACTGAACCCTGATTGTGGACTTGAAGGCAATCCGCACATGCAACCCTGACTGTGCTTTCTGCCATGCTGCTATTTCAATGGCAGAACACTGCCTGTGTTAGTTGTTTATCCTCCACCAAATCATTTATGTGAAAAAATCTTTTTTGTTGTTGTTCTATGGGCATTTTATACACTCATGTTGTAGCCACATTTCATGGGACCAAACTTGCTTTCGCTCTCAGCTCTTCTTCCTGCCACTAATCCACTCAATATACTCTATGTTGGTGTTCTTCGCACAGCCCAGAGCTCTCCACAGAGGGCGTATGTGAATCTCGCTGACAAATGAGTGTGTGCGCACATGCCCCCCCCCCCTCGTCACATTCCACACGTTCGCTGCATTGTCGAAGAGTCGACACTGCAGCTCCATTTTTGCACTTCCAACATTTCCGACAGGAAAGCTTTTCAACTCTGCTGTAGTCGGTTCTTACAGTAGTTGTTGGCTGTACATAGCACCAGTAGTAGCTCCAGTCAGCATGTAATAACCCCATTAAACTAATACCCCTCTTACACCACACACCACAGTCCAACCAGTGTGTCCAAACATAAAGCTGACTCACATAAGACTCTGTTACGCCAAACCTGATGACCTACAATGTCCCTGTATCAAGGTGTTTGCACAAGATGCAGGAATGACTCGCACAGGGCCTATCGTTGTCTAAATTACCTCAGGCTGATAAATATTTGAATTTCAGTTCCTTTCTTCCCCTTAAATTGAAAAAGGGACGTAAAACAACACACAAACACTTCCAGGATACCGAGGCTTAATTATTTGGCTTCTATAGAAAACTGTTTATTGCTGGTTGGATGATGTAAATAATGTGGAGTGAGCTTGGTACAACATGGTACCCTGTGGATGTACAAAGCACCATACTGCACAGTGTACAATGCATAGTTGGTTTCCTCAACACAGGGTTTGGGGGGTTCTCCACTGCCTAAAGTGGGTTCAGTAAATAATGCTTGTAGCAAATACAGTAAACATACAAACTACTTAAAGGAATGGCGTGTATGGCATGAACAAACTTAAAGGCCAGTCCCTAAAATAAATATCCACAGCACTAATTCCATCAGTACAATAGTCAGGTCATACTGACCACTCTGCTTCTCTTAAAAATACTGCTCTTCTTTATTAAATAATTTCAGTTAAGATACTGTCAATGAAATGTAGCATTGCATATATTTTACATTAAAAGTCTACTTGGGAAAGGAGGGATTATGCCCTTTGAGCCACTGCAAGGCTTTTAATGTTAAACATTAATTTAGGATTTGTTCGTTGACGGTAGCTTAAAGTTTTTCTTCTCGTTCCTGCAGTTGGATGTTTGATCTTCACTGTGCAGAATGATGTCTGTGCAGAGTTTGACACTAGAAGGATGTTTTCACATTCATCTGCTGAAAGTTGGAGATTCTCGGACATTTAACATCTGATTTTAAGGGTTGGGGCCTATGAGCATGATTTGAGTCCTGGTCCAGTATGCAACTTGTACAGTGTAATCCACCAGTGCACATCCACTGAGAATGGACTTTACAGTGAAGGAGGTGTGTCCAGCAGGAAAACTTTAAAATGAACAACATTTGTATATTGATACATTCTGAAATTTTTAATGAGAAGGAATAGAGGACTTTTTATCGATCTTAATGTGAAAATTATCCTTTTTTGCAGTAAAAAAAAAACAAAAAACTGTTGTACTGATGAATTAGTGCTGTGGAAATGGACAGTACACTGAATTAAACAAGACAGGTAAAGATAAATATGAAGGAAGTGGTGAGTTAGCATTAAAAGCAAATTAATAGAGGAGCTAATCCAAAAACAGGGAGGCTTCTTACCAAAATATGATGAAATATACTTACAAAAACTAATGATTAAAATCCTGTCTGTAATATAAGCCCATGATTCTCTCTGCATTTGAGGTAAATAATGGCCACAGACGCTATTTGAGATTGTACAGTAACCAAGAAATAACACTTCTATAAATAACACACAGTCCAGGCGTAGCCTTTAGTAAACCATTAAAGTAAAGAAACAGTGTAATTATTCTGTTAATAAGTTTTCCATTGATTCTGTGAATGCCAGAAGGACATTACAGTGATCACCAAAGACCTCTTCCATACATATTTCTACATGTAGCATTATTTAATAACCAGATTTGTGAATGGGTGACAGCTGTTTCTTGAATTTTATTATGAGTTCAGTGTGACATTTTTAATGTTCTTATAAATGATAATAATGGAGTCGTGATCGGTGGGAAGGAGGGGCATTTTACATGAATGGGAAATATATTATCAGGATCATTACACTATTTTGAGTTATGAAGGCGATAGCTGTAACAGAGTAGTACAGTTCAGTTTAGTTTTCCCTATATGTGCTGTATTCTGACAATAGTCAGCCACTAAGGCTACATTCACACTACAAGCCTTAGCATTCCATTCAAATTTATTGCTCAGATTTGATTTGTTTTTGTTTGGCTGTTCACATTACTTTTTAAATGTCAGATTCCAGTGTGAACAGGTCAGGATCTGGATCAGACCTGTATCTGATTTAGACCACATATGAAAGTGGCCCAAATCAGAATGTAAAAGATCAGATTCCATTTGATTTGTGCTGTGACCCAAAAATCTGATTTGGGTCACTTTGGTCTGAATGCAGCCTTAACTGCATGTACTCTAAGGCCACTCACTTCACATCATACAGTGACAGTGTCATACTGAAGGGCCTTCAGTCAGAGAGAAAAGAGCAGCGGCTCAGCAAATGTCCACCAAAGCCCTACTGCAGGCTGTTCACTTTCCAGAAAACAGTCACTTTTCTGTTCCTGCAATGCAAACTGTTCAGGGGTTACACTCAATCAAAAGTGCAATGGGTCTTTTTGTTCAAAAATCTGAAACATGAATCCTTATTCAGGTTTTTTTTCTATTTTGAATGTTTTGGGGTAATTTGATAATATTGTGTATTTATAGGCTACACAGAATAACACTGTATAATAGTTAGTTTTTCAAATTTGAATGGTGCTCATAATAAGGCTGGATATAAAATCACACAATGTGGCTGTACCCTGAAATGACAGTGTTACTATATGTTTTATTCCATTTACTACAAAATTCATATTCCTCACATTACTGCTGGCCATTTTCAAAGAAAAAATCAGCTTGCAAAAACTTGTTTTTTTTACTGGATAATCAACCACAGTGAGCATTATTGTAGGGAAATCAGTGGCTGCCTTTAAAAACAAAGGTAGTAGACAAACAGTAATGGGCTAAAACATGCGAAAAACACTGGCATGGAAGTTTAATGCTGTGGATATCTACTGTTTTAAATGGACACGTTTGTGTAAAAGTGCTGAGATCAAACTAACATGAAGTCAAAACCAGGAGCAAAGTAAGGAGGTTTTTCGTGCCTTCTTCTGTAGGTCAAACATGTTAAAGCTGAATGTTCTCAATGTGCACGGATGTATTTTACAGCTCAAACACATGTAAAGCACCCTAGAAACTGGTTTACTTTTACTGGAGGTGGTGCTCTGATTTTGGACACTTTGGCCTGCAGTCTTAATTAATAGCGGGATTGTCATTAGCTAAGAGGGCAGTGGTCAGATAAATTTATCTGGAAATTGGTGGTCCATATATTATTGCAGTCACAAAAAAAGGCTCTGAGCCATTGTGCTTCCTGTAAACCATGTGATTGGTTGAATAAGCACAGCTTGTAAGATATAGAAAATTATCTATACATGTTAACTCGAGTGACAAAAATGGAAATCAAAATCCTGTTAAATTTAAGCCTCAAATGATTAATTATTAACTAATCCCATATACTGTAAATGTACAGCTGTACTGTAATGTCTTTCAGACCAGACATCAACTACAATACAGAGGCTTCTGAAGTTGAATTTATGTTTTCTTCTATGACTGATGATTGTAGAGTTTACACTAAAACAACAGGTCATTTTGAAGCTACAGAGGGTGGATGCATGTCCTTCCTAGTAAAAATAAACCAGTCTGAAGGATTTGCTTCACACATGACTTATGGTGTACACATCTATAACACTTAATGGGTTTCCTTGCAATGTAACAGTCAATTCAACAAAGATTGTATTAGGATTAAGCTTAAATGTAATGTTTAAACTGATAATAACTCACTGGAATAAGGCCACTAAATGTGGATTTCTTTGTGAATCTGAGGAGCTTCTTTCCTCCGATTTGCTAAAGCATTTGAACCCAACACCAACTCCTCTGCTCCCCTCCTGTTTCTCTGGGAATGTACCTGCCTACATTACACAATGTATTGTTGATTTGACAAGCTGTTATGTCCCTGTTGGACATTGTGAACAGGCCTTGTGTTCTCTTTTTACACCCCTTCGAGTTCAAGGCTAAGTAGCAACATGTATCCCACTGTAAACCCCACTGCTTGGTCCAAATGTCTGTCCTCATCAATGAAGCTCATCTTGGCCTTACTACTACTACTATTACTACTGGACTTTTTATGATGTTAAAAGTGATACTGAAGAGGGATGGGGCGACGGTAGCCATTTTTGGACTTTTAACATGGGCTTCTCTGGAGCCATGTGATTAACGCTGTACCTTTCTCACTTCTAGTGTGTGTGTGTGTGTGTGTGTGTGTGGTGTGTGTGATTACAACCAATGTACTCCATGTTCAAACAAAAACCAGCTGGATATATAAAATACACATATAGATGAAATATATAGAAAACGATGTAAAGGTATATACTTCTAATGGTTTTGTGTGTTTGGGTTGGTCTATAGGCAAGCTTCAGTCAATAGAAAGCAATGTGAAGGGTCTTTTAAGGTGAGTGGAATGTAGGAAACTGTCTGAATTGACATTCATGTATATATATATATACAGCTAGAGCACAAGATAATTTAAAGTGTGTGACATTTTCCCTCCATGGTCTGTCAGGGATTTTAGGCTAGTGTGACACAATGAAGCTAACCAAGGAAACAAGCACTTGAAGCTGGTGGCAGGCAGCAGGTTGGCTAACAAGTATTTATAAGTGCACTCATTTTGAATGTAACTGAAACGTTAACTCTCAATGTGTCTAAAAATAATAGAAAAAACATACAAGAAAAATACCATTTCTGTAAAGCAGCAGCAATGTTTTATTTATTTGCTAGCTTTTTTCTGTGATGTTCTAGCTATTGGAGCTACATTCCTGTACCAGAGCCAGAATGTTTGTAACAGTATTTACAACAATAAATGACTTGCAGAAGGACTGTTCGGACTGTGTCTAAATTATTTTCATTTCATTGGGATTGGTATGCTCTTTTGAGTTATTTTCCTGAATTGTCCAATTCGACAAACCGAGGATCGGACATGTTGTGGAAGCTTTAAGTAAAGTCTCAATGCTGTCTGAAACACAATTCCAAATTTGTGAAACCTTTATTCTATTTCTGAACATGCAGAAATTGAGATTTTTTTTACATCTAGAATGGGGCTGCACAATTAATCACAATATTATGGAAATCATACATGCAGGAAGCTGCAGTTTTGTGATAAAGGTAAAATGTATGATAAAGCAGCATTCTCACTATAAACAGATTATTCCAGAGGTCAGAGCTTAAAATGCAGTTTCAGGTTGCAACCTTTATTCTGCTTGTGAAAATGCGAAAAAGTGAGATTTCACTGCTTTTTTCTCCCCACATCTAGACCACATTGGACCAAGTCCAGATTTAAAAAATCACTACACCTAGACTGGTCAATTCTTTACTAGATTATTCCAGAGGCTAAAGATTCAGATTTGTGTAACTTCTTATTCTATTGGGAAATGTTTCAGATTTACAGTATTACCATAATATGGCATTTGTTGGTCCACATACTGTGTCTGTTACTGTTAATGTGTGCTTGTCATGAACATCTCGTCTTTCTCACTTCAAAACAAACAAATGTGGAAAAGTTATTTTTACCTCATAATAAAAATATCTTCATTTATTGATGATTTGGTTCATTTACATTGCGGTTGGTAATAACTTCTGCTGTTACTATTGTTTCAATTTTTGGTGCCCTTTAATTACTACAAAAACTTCATATGTAAGTCTGTCTTTGCTCTTTCCAACTGTTTTTTGCATGTCCCATTTTAAAACCTTCCTTTTCACAAATAGAATAAAGGTTTCTCAGGTCTGAAACTTTTAATGAGACTAATTTATTCCATATTGGACCAGGTGATTTGATATTTCCCTTTTTTGCATCTTCGCCATTAGAATAAAGGTTTTCAAAGTTTCAAAGTGGGTTTCAAACAGTATTAAGGTTAAAGCTTTCACAATAGTTAGGGGCAGAAAATGGAGCATTGGTCGCTGAGGACTGTAAGTTAAGTTTCCCCTAACTTTCCCCTGAACTGCCAATCAGAAGCCAACTGTAGTTAAATGTGTGACTATGTTACTTACTAACTGTGGTAACTCACATAATGACTTTAAGTGATGGATTCCTATTGACCCGATTGAGTTCATGTGTAACTGAGTTATTCTATGCAAAGTAAATACTACACTGTGTACTACAGTAATAACTGGACATTTACTGTTACACTAAAGATGAAGGACAGATATTTATGAAGAGGAATACTGTACAGTGCTGATAATTGATTCTCTTCTGCCGTATGCAGTTTGTGTTCTGTGTTTGTGATCCCTAGCCATCCCTGCAGTGTGTAGAGCAGCATCCAGGCTTCTTCAGTGCTCCCACCAGGATACAGACAATGCTACAGGTAAGAGCTCAACAGCCTACAGTTGTCTGTCTACTTTACAAATGTATTATCCATCTTTCCAGGACTAAACTTGGAGGTCTGGGAAGGCCGAATCAAGAGTTCCAAATCTACCTTCAAATCTACCATCGACCTTAATTCTCTAGGGAGCACCAACAGACCAGGTATCTCATTTGGGCAGCATATTAATAATATATATATTAATAGTATTCTCTGAGCTTTGGGAGTGCTAGGCCTCCATTTTCTTTGTCAATTCGTCTTAAATTTTACCCTTGGCCGTTCTCCTGGTAGTGATGGGAAGAGGGATAGCAACCTTGTAGCACATTCGTTTTCACCACCTTGATTCTTGAGCTGAATACTAGTGTAGACCATTTCATCATATCTCTCTGTATCTTATTGATTTGTTCCCACTTCCCTTTGTATTCCTGTCTGATTGCCTGACTTGTAGTTAAGTGAGAGTACCTGTGTTTTTGTGACGTTCACTTTATAACCGGACACCATACTCATTCAGAATTGCCATAGGTTTGGGAAGTGGTGAGTTTGATATTTGATTGTGAAGATAAGTAATAATATAATCCACTAAAAACTAGTATGTGTTCCTCTTTTGCTATATTGATACCTTCCAACTCTTCATTCTGTCTACTAGCTTTAGCCAAAGGCTCTATAAATACTGCAAAAAGGGAGGGACTAAGGTAACAGCCCTGGCGAGTGCTAAACAATGTATAACTGCCTGTTAAATAGCAGAAAAGGTCAGCTTACTCTGTCAAATGCCTTCTCCACACTGAGACTGAGCAGGTTTGTTAACTACCTATATCTATAATGTGTAGGGTTCGTCTGATGTGTTTGTCTGCCTTATATAACATCTGTTTGATCTTTATTAAGTCGGGCAAAAATCATTCAATTCTTTTTGAGATTATTGAATTATAATCTATGTTCAATATAGAAATTGCACAATAAGATTCACAGTATTCTTTATTTTTACCTTCTTTTGGGATGACTGATGGAGGAAGAGCCACACCTTTGTCGAGTGTCCAATTTAAAGATTCTAGCAATACAGGGGCCAGGTCTTTCAAGAATTTGTACCATTCATTTGGACAACCGTCACTCCCTGGGCATTTGTTTGTTTTCAGTCTACTAATTTCCATATCCAATTATTTTTTATAGGGTCATTTAATTCCTCATTTTGTATTTTTCCTATGGAGGGGAGATATTTAATATATTATATATATTTAATATTTCCTTTGTCGACAATCTTAGGCTGTGAGTGTAAAGTTTCATTAGAATCCTTGAAGATTTTATGAATTTCTTCTGGTTTGTAGGTTACATTATTACTTAAAGGGTTTCTGATCTTGTGCATTAAATATTTTATTTGTTGTGCCCTGAAGCGTTGCTTTTGGGCCTGATTCATTAAAGGTTTATGAATCTCAGTTTTTGTCATTCACAATATTCTGTTTTTTTTTTATTTATTTTATTTGTCAACCCTTTGCCCTCATCTTTTTGTTGTTGTTTTTCTAGTTTTCTCAAATGATCCTCTAATTCATTGTATTTTGTCTACATCGTTCTTGAAAGCAGTCTCCCAGTCTCATTACTGCATTAACCGCGTCATTCTCTTTATCTTTTATGCAATCACTAATTTACTTATGACCTAATTATTTAAAATGCTAATATTTAGCCTCTGTGATGTGTTCTTCGGTCTGATACTCAGTTGTGTAATTCAATAAATTGAATTATGATCCGATATGTCTGCTGTTCCTGTATCTATCTATAGTGTTCATTAGGACGTAATCTATTCTGAAGTGCACCTGATGAGTAGCTGAATAATGTGTAGAGTCTTTTTGTACCACGTGGAGGTTCCTCCAAACATAATACACTATGTACACACTCTATAATTAATAATTAAATAATTGACCTATGTGATTTGTGTCTTTTTGTACTTGTATCAACAGAGTAGTTAACAACTGTGTTCCAGTCTCTTGCACAAACTCAAATGCTCTTGCTTTCACAAGTTATTGTATCAAATAGAAGTTTAAAGAATTGTATTTCACTCTCCGGCGGGGCGTATATATTGGCAAAATATCTATCCTTCCTTTGATAATTATATATCTGCGCTTTGTTTCCCTTCTCCCTTCATTAGTTCACAAGTTGAGGAGTTGGAAATCAGAGTTATGTACTATTCTTTTACAAGAACTGAAAAAAGAGCTAGCAAGAAAAGGCCAGCAGCCAAAGGTACTGGGCTACTGTGGCTTAGAGCTCTGGTGAGGAGAGCAAATGCAAAATGTAATGCAAAATGACACAAAATAATAATGATAATAAAAATACCGCCATGACATTTTGTGGGCTTAATAAAATCTGAACCAAGGTCACTTGTTTTTAGAAATGTTCTCTATGTGCATATGGTCATGCAACATAACAGGTGAAACATAAATGGCACATACAGTACAAACACATACTGTATGCATATAGAAGGTCTACTTTGGGCAGTGCAGTAGACAGAGGCCAATGAAAAAACCAATGTATAAATATTTAATATATTGTTCGTCCTGCTCAATTGTCCACCTGTTTCTCTTTGATCAGACCTTGTGGAAGCCTTCCAGCATGTGACTGGAGCCAGATCTCAGGCAGAGTGAAGCAGCTGCTTAGCCGCTGTGCTCTGACTGCTGGAGAGCTCGCCCTTGTTGTTTGCCAGAAACTTCATCCCAAAAAACATGGTGATGGTGATGATTTTCAGTGTCTCTTCTCAGCACTCCTCTTCCTCCTCCATCAGTTGCAATGGTATAACCCTCAGACCTCAGGACAATCATCCATTTCAAGATAAACACAGCAGTGCAGTCCAGTGACAAAGAGAACATAAGTAATAGTAGGACAGCTACAGAGCTAAAAACAGATATGTTTACAGCCTTCACAGAACATGTGTTCTTCCAAAATGCCAGTTTCGACTGCGCTCACATAATGTGAGTTAAAATAATCACCAGTTTCCAACTTGTAAATAGTCAAAATTACAACTGGGAGTCTGGATTTTTCTGAAAACTCCAATATATTTTTCTAGCAAATATTAAATAAAACAGAAGTGCCTGAAAAAGCTGAAGTCTGTGGTCAATAATTAAACCAAAATTATTGAACATGCACAGCCTATCTGCAAAAATACAACAGACTTGAGCTGTCCAAGGACATACATTTTCATTGTAAACCAACAACGCTACCATTTTTGGACCAAAATCTGTTCATTGCAATGGAAATGCTACACTTGCACCTGCAGAGGCTGAATAAACAGAGGTGGCCAAAGTACAGGTATTCTTTACTAAAGTAAAAGTACAAATACTTTACTACAGAAAAAGATTCCGGTAAAAGTAGAAGTACTGATTCATCTTCTTTACTCAAGTCAAACTGAGGAAGTACAGGCACTGAAATGGACTGAAAGTAAAAAGTACTTTCCTGGTTGCTCTGAGGGACAGTTCTACCTGCGGTTTCTGAGCAAAGCTAACTGAAACTTCAAACAGGGTCAAGTCTCCCACGTTACGTCTGTCATGCGTGATATGCACCGGTCTTGATGTTTGGAAGGCTGTGCAACGATGCAAAAAACTAATAATGATAGAAAATTCCCCTCAAATGCATTAAAACTAAAGTAACAAGCTTGATTTTAAAATGTAAGGAGTAGAAAGTACAGATATTTGTGTAGAAATGTAGGAAGTAAAATTAAAGAGTTATCAGAATAAGTACAGATACCTGAAAAAACAAAACCTGATTTCTTAAAGCAAACATTGGCACTGAAACACTTTTTCCTCAAAGTTGTACTGGCACTGAAACAAGCTCTACTGAAAAATGAAAGGCAGACATTAAAAATGACTTCATCTTAATTTTTTGGTATTCTGATGTTCCTCAATGAATTTTGTTTCACTTCTGTGTTTTCACTGACCTCTTTTTATTTATTTTTTTCAGTTTTAACTTTGTGTCACCATTTTGGTATGGAGAGGGGTTAGGAGGGCACGATTTACATATCTGCATACTGATGAGAAAACTCTTCCACTGAAACCAGTTCAGTACACCACTTAAGATATGTAAAGTCATAAAGTTTAGTTAAAATTATAAAATGAGAAAACTGTTGATATGTCACAATCTCCTTTGAGGTCTTTCCCTATAATGTACAGTGACTGCTTCAAATTTCATTTGAACATTTTGAGGCAGAAATCCATCAGTACCTAATAAATAAAATAAATAAATAAAAAACTGTTATCATCCTAGGATTTATTTGGTGATGTAACATATTTAACAATCTTATTTAATAATGTGTGAAATGATGCTGAAATATGAGTTCTTTTGGCCACTCCAAGCACCGTAACTGCATGAATAGACGCACATCAAAATCTAAACAGCGGCTGGCCTCTGAGCTCACACCCATGGTGATGGCTTCACAAGTTTACCTGGAAATCCCAAACCACAAGCAGCCTGTTTCTCTCTGCCAGACAAGAATAACATCAGTTAAAAGTTGAAACTGAAAACCAGTGACACTGAAAAAGAAAAGACAGACATTAAGGAAAAACAGAAGATTGTCACTGAATATAAAACATAATACATACAATATCAATATAAAATGAAATAATTTTTAATGTTTTATTTTTCAGTGGAAGTTGTTTCAGTGCCAAAACAAGTTTAACAAATTTTAATGTTCTGTTCTGGCTCTAGAGTAACTCCCCACCTCTGTAAATAAATCAATCTGCATGGAACATGGAAATTAATGCAATTTGCAAACTACCTTGACAGTGCTGACATTTCAGTGAGAGTCCAAAATAGAGCTATCATATTAGCTTTTATATAACCCTGCTCTTCCAGAGTACACACTGCTCCACAAAATGGGCACGATTTTCAAACGAAACTTTGTTGCTTGCTAACTAGAAAGCCAGCACCCTGTTCAGTTGTGTCTGGGAACTCTTTATTAAAACGGTCTGTCATTTTCAAACAGTTTCCTGGAAAGAACTGTGTAATTTGGTACATTTTAATTCAGCACAGCAGGTCAGGTAAAAAAAAGAAAAAGTTAAATTTGTCTTCAGACAAGCACACAGTTCAAAATATGTAAAACTTTCCAATAATAAACAAATATTTAACATGTTGATGCCAGTGCATCTGACCATTAAATAACACATGTTGAAGTATTGCTGTATAGCTGGGTTGAGTTGCAAATGCAGACTTATTACAATGTTAAAATCTGTTTAGAAAGCATATAAAACATTGAGCGCTGGGTACTATGTGTCAGTACAAGTTGCCCATATTTTTAAAATTTCACAAATAAATTGTATTAGCAGAACAAAATGTTTTAAAAAACTACACTCATACAAACTCATCTGCACACATTACACATACACACACACACACACACTCCTCAGTGGTTGGATTACAATAATGTTCTCTTAAAGTTTAGCAAGAGTTAAGGTGGCATTCCAGCTGTGTTGCCCTCCGACATATTACCATACCATTATAATCTTCGCTCACAGGACCGTCTCTCTAAAGACTCCGATCAGACTGTGAGGGCGTTCAGGATGATCCAGACGGGACCCTGTCCTTGAACCTGCTCTGGAGCTCGCCCTCGACCCCACTCTTCTACCGTTTTCTCGATGTTCCAGAGACTCCAGTGCGGCGCAGGTGAAGGAGCTAAGGTCTCCACAGCTCTGCAGGTGCAGCAGACCAGGTCTTCTCCTGGGGGGTCGAGGGAACGTCTGGGAGGAACTGCCCGCTAGCTGCTGCTGGGGAGGATTTGGCTGACTGGGGCCCATCTGTGAGTCTGTGAACACCTGAAAGCCAACAGGAAACAGATGCTCATGTTGTGATGGAGGTGTGTTTGCTGCCCCCAGGGTTTCTGCAGGTTTAAAGGGGAACTTGGCAACTCTAGCTATTTCTTCGCTGGTTT